CAGTCCATTCATCTAAGGAAAGTTCAGAAAAGGGCCAGTCTAGAAAATTTTTTTGAGGGGTCATTTGTCAGGTCATGTCATTAAAACATGTCAGACACAATACAATAATGCTTTCACTGATGGCTGTCTGTACGTGTTGCTGCTGATTGTCTGTAATAAAAGCCCGGGACTGCATCTGGCTCCATCTCTAACTTTTTTAAAAACCATCTTATCCGCTACAATTAGTTGTTAATTCAAGAACGCCTAAAGATACCAAACTACATCTAATAAACACACACACACACACACACACACACACACACACACACATACACTTATACACACACACACACACACACACACACACACACACACACACACACACACACACACACACTTATACAGACATAGCAAATTGTGCAATCCATTTAAAACAGAACAATATATAATGTGTTTTGATTTTTAACATTAGTTGTATAAAAGCAAACAAAATACACTAAAAATAAGCATTACCTAACAGAAATACAGTTATTTTTTACAGTTTTTTTAAATAAACTTTTAATTAACTGACTTGAAACCAGTCATTTGACTTTACTGATAGAAATATGCTCTGTCCATGAGGGATTTAAACGATTACTTCCAAGAGCAAGGAGCTATTCCGCCCTCTAGTGGACATAAACGGTTACTACACAATTTACCTAAAGCTAAACAAGACATAACGGGTCATCACTTCCTTTACACTCCTTCAAAATAAAACAAACCACTTTTAAATTTCTACGGTTTTTCAAATTGCGCTAACAGCTTATAGTTAGTCGAGATAAAGAACAAGCCAGAACATGTTCACCTGTACAAGTTATATAACTATTAAACTCCTTAAATGTATCTTAACGTGTTAAACAAGATTAAATCAAAGAGCTAAAGCAGGAAACAGCTAGCTTTTTTCCCCAAAACTTTATTGAACTAGGTAATAAGTATACAAACAAATTGCATACAAAATTGAACAAACAACATGAAACATATTCCAGGGGGCGCACTACAGAAACGTTACACACATCCAAATAAATTGTAGGTATAAATAGGTATAGTTTTTAAAGTTTTTTTATTTAGTGATCCACTAATCAATTTGATGTAAGATTGTGTCACTATAATAGTGTTTGAAATTAGGTTTTTGGTTACTATATTTGCATTTGTGGAGATAGAATTTAGCTAGAATAATTAACACATTTATAACAAAATATACATCTTCCTTTCTGTGCTTGCAAAAAAAAAAAAAAAAAAAAAAACCCAACATTTTCCCATTTTAAAATGAAGTCCTTGTAGACCTGTCTGATAATAAATCTCCTAAAGTCTTTCCAAAACGTTGTAGCATGCGGACAGATCCAGAAGAGGTGCTGAACGGTCTCAGGGTGGCTTCCACAAAAACAGCCGTTCACATCATTGTCCCTCTTAAACTTTGTCAGATAGTGATTAGCTGGGTAACACTTATGAAGTATTTTGAATGAAACTTCTTTGACCTTATTTGTCACAAAATACTTATTAGGAATGGTCCGTACTCTTTTCCAACTGATGTCAGTGACAAAAGAATTCCAATAAAAAAATCACATATGGAACAGATAAGGATTCTCTCTGAAATAAAGCACGAATATTCCTATTACTGTTTTTATGCTCGGTAAGACAAACTTTTCCTACGTATGTGTTCACAGGGTCGGGAGGAGAAATTTGGTGGTACAACAGGTAGAACACCTTTAAAAAGCATTCTGACACCCATAGGTATTGCAGCAAACAGTATAGCATATTCTTTGGGAGTTGCTGGAAATGTTTAGGAGTTCTGTGTAAGACATAAGCTGTCCATTAGTATTATACAACAGATTCACAAAAATGATCTGACTTATTTTTATACACTATGTTCCTGTTATTCCAGATCAAGTATGTCTGGGGAGTAAAATTCTGTTGATGAATCAGTGACCAGGCTAATAGAACTTGTTTGTGAAACATTGGAAGTTTTTCTGGAAGTTTTCCTACATTGTAGTCACAACCAAGGATAAAAGTTAGACCACCAAATTTAGAGAAGATATAGTGAGGAATAAAATTCCAAACGGAGACAGGATTTTTAAGAAAATGTTTAGCCCAGTTAATTTTAAAGGTGCTGTTTAAAGTAGTGAAGTCCTAGTCCCAGCGGCTGGGATGAGGATCAGCACCTCCAAATCTGAGACTGTGGTTCTCGACCGGAAAAGGGTGGCTTGCTAACTCCGGGTCGGGGGAGAGGTCCTACCTCAAGTGGAGGAGTTTAAGTATCTCGGGGTCTTGTTCACGAGTGAGGGTAGGAGGGATCGGGAGATCGACGGGCGGATTGGTTCGGCGTCTGCAGTGATGCGGACGCTGAGCCGATCTGTCATGGTGAAGAGGGAGCTGAGCCAGAAAGCCAGGTTCACGATTTACCGGTCGATCTACGTCCCAATCCTCACCTATGGTCATGAGCTTTGGGTAATGACCGAAAGAACGAGATCGCGGATACAAGCGGCCGAAATGAGTTTCCTCCGTAGGGTGGCCGGGCTCAGCCTTAAAGATAGGGTGAGGAGCTCGGACATTCGGGAGGGACTCGGAGTAGAACCGCTGCTCCTCCGGATCGAAAGGAGTCAGTTGAGGTGGTTTGGGCATCTGGTCAGGATGCCGGACGCCTCCCTGGGGAGGTGTTTCGGGCATGTCCTGCCGGCAGGAGGCCCCCGGGTCGACCCAGGACACGTCTCCAATCTGGTCCAGGAACGCCTGGAGGTCCTGCCGGAGGAGCTGGTGGAGGTGGCCAGGGAGAGGACGGTCTGGAGCTCCCTAGTTGGGATGCTGCCCCCGCGACCCGGACCCGGACAAGCGGAGGAAGACGACGACGAAGTCCAAGATATTGAGTCCACCATGTTGACAGTGATTCATTATTACACTCTTTCTAATGTAATGTGTTTTGTTTTTCCACAAGAAGTTGAAGAGCATTCGGTCAATTTCCCCACAAGTTCTGTTGTCCACATGCAGAGGTATGGCAACATAAGTCAGTCGAGACAAGCCTTCTGCTTTGGAGAGCAACACTCATCCTCTTCAACTTAAATCTCTTTGTAACCACTGATTTTACTTAGATCGAGTTTTTTAATTATTGGAGAAACATTTGAGGTAATTCTGGTTTTTTGATCCTTACAGATAATCAAGCCTAAGCTGTACCAAAGCCTTGTTTTTTTGTTTTTTCTTTTTTTGCTCTTGGTTTTTTAGTTTGTTCTTTTGTTTAAAAGCAATCGGTTTTGCCTCAACAGCTCATTAATGTAAACCTTTCTTAAATTTAGTACGTTTCCTTTCTCGTGTTGTACATGCTACATCTTTCAATAAAGTAAAAAAATAAAAATAAAAGAATTAAAAAAAATACCCTCCCAGGAAGCAGCTAGCTATTTTTTTTTTCAAAACTTTATTGAACAAGGTGATAAGTATACAAACAAATTGTATACAAAATTGAACAAAGAAGATGAAGGAAGCAGCTAGCTAAAGCGCTACAAACGTATTAAATCATACGCCATCTAGCGGCAACATGGTGAAATTATGTCCAATGTGGATTTAAAGGCATTTTCTCTTAAAAAGTTTAAATGGTTATAATAGGTAATATTAAATAAATATATTTAATTACAAATTTTACTATAATAATTTTGAGATTTCTAATCAAACATGTCAGATAAAAACGTAGAATTTGAACTTTTTCACTTTATCTATTTCTTTCTCTTGCCCTTAATAAAAGTCAAATCTTGAGTTAGAGCCCCCTCTGCTGGTGAATCATAAGAACTGTCTGAACTCAGCACTAGCCGGGCAAGCCGTCCCCACGTTTGAAATATAACTGATATACAATTCAAAGCAAAATTAATGGGCTATTACTGACCCACTACAGAACAAGTTCTGCTCACTTAGCAGTTAAATGTGGAAACGATCATTTATCCTAAGATCATCTTGTATCAAAGGTCTTAATAGTGACGCAACTATAAATAAATTTTTTTTCTACTGTCGAGCAATCAAACCCTTCAGGTGAGTTGTATCAGCAAATAAATACATGTGAAGTGTAAAAATACCATTACACAAAAAACACATGACAGATGGTTTAATCCCAGTTCAGCCAAAGAAAGCAACATCTGAACACTGTTTAACACCCTGCATCACAACAACAGAAATTCAATCAGAGCAGCTGGTTGACCCGTGTCGCCCCCACGGAGGCTTCTCGCCTTCCAAATGAACATGCAACCCTTGGACATGTCTCTGAGCCTCTGTGGGGGTCAGAAACTCTACACCTATAATGCAACTCTCTGTGTGAGTCACTACATCTGGACACCATCGGTATGATGCTGCACTGAAACTGCTCGTGCTCCCAAGTGTCTGGAGCACATTTCTCCTGACAACATCTGGTTCATCTAGTGTGTCAGAAAATGTATTTTTACAACAACAACAACAACAATACTAATACTACTACTACTACTGCTACTACTACTACTACTAATAATAATAATAACAATAACAATAATAAAATTAATAATAATTGTCAATAAAAGCCTCCCTATTACACTAAAATATAGTCAACTTGACAATTAGGCACATTTCCCTTTTCCTTTTGCACATGATTTTATGGTTCTGTAACTAATTAGCTGAACCTAGAAACATTTATACCACAAGTTCACATAATTACCACAGACAAATGTTCACTCTGTTTAAAATGTAAATGAAAACACGACAAAACCCTAATCCTTTTTATATCTTGTTAATATTTTAAAATTTCACCCCAGAAATTCCTGTAAAACTCCCAAGAAATTTCATGGAAAATCAATTCACGAACTAAAATCAAAATATGTACAGAATTTGAAAAACATCTTCGAAAAATACAAATTTACCTTAATCAGAAAGGAAGTCTAGCTGCCTCAATTGGAGAATGTCGCACCAGCAGCCGCTTTAAGTCTATTTGTTCGTTTGGCGCCCCCTTGTGGCAGCGTTAACAGAGTTGACGGAACCGGAAACGGAAAAATGAGCATTGGATAGCAACTAGCATCTTTTGTTGAGAAGCTGTGCAGAAATCACTTGTGTTTCTTTTTGTATTAGGAGGATATTTCTTGCGTGACCGAACATTAATGTCATTTAGTGGAACACAAAACAGCGGGTAGGTATCAAAACGCTCTATTAGTGTAGTTTTTGTGTTTTTTGACACGCAGTTCAGTTTCAGTCTGTTAGTCTGCTAACGTTAGCCGCCTTATGTAACTACAATGGCTGTGTGTTGTCTGATTCTCTTGTTAGTGCTCGTGTCTTGTTATTATTATTATAAAACTGCATATTTTACACGTAAGAGGTGGTAGTGTGCAGATGTCCTCGTATTTGTATAAGGACAACTTTTGATTATCTTTCAAAAAGTAAGTTAAACAATGAATAGTCTAAATGTCCGCTCTGTCTCTTTCTCCCAGAGCTGCAAAAAAGCTTAACACGTGAAATTAAGGTGTCTCTTTAAGTGTTTTAGGATCTATAAAATGGGACTTCATTTTTGTTTCATGTTCAGACAAGGAAAACATTAAATTCTCGTGAAAGAGATATATACACGTTTTACTTTATAAACCATATTTGATCAAAACGAAAAACCCCACAGAAGCAAACCTATGCTGCTGCTTTCTACTTATGTGTAACTTTCAATTAAAAAGCAAATACATTTTCTTGTGAATTATAAGTATAAGAATAAGCATCAAAACAATAATTTGAGAGAAAGGCTGTCCTTTATTCTAGTTAAAATGGTTATTGGAACAATTTACCGTAATTTTGCTGAAAACCTCATATTAGTGTTTCATATTGGTCTGTAGAATGTGAGAAATTTAACATATTTCCTTCTCAGCTCCTTTTTTTCTGTAAATAACTCCTTTTCATGGCAGGTTTCAGAAAAGGACATCTGGCTGGATGTTGGATAAGTCTAACAAACCATGACATAGATAGATGTGCTTTATTAATCCCAGGCGGGGAAATTGCAGTGTAACCGCATTACACACATTAAGACAGTTAAAAACAGTAGCAATATAATTAAAAACTTACAGATGGACCTTCTTTTTTTTAGCTTCTCGAATTTTTTATGGTTATGGCTTCTAAAAAGGGATGAAAACACAAGTCCAAACTAATTCCAGTAAATGATACTTTATTGATCTCCTTGGGGAAATTATTTCCCTGCATTTGAACCATCTCTGAGGAGCAGTGGGCTGCCATTTGTGTCAGGGCCAGGGATTGAACCTTCTGATCAGTGGCTAACTGCTCTCCCCATTCAGCCACAGTTGCCCAAACACCAAAGGAAGTTCATTCTCTCCTTCTGAAATCCCTTCTCTTGTTCTGTGTTTTCATTTTTCCACTCCATAGGCGCCGCAGCAAATGGGACCAGGCCGGCTCTGGGTCTGGCCCCAGGCCTGGCTCCGGGGAGATGAGGGGGGCCGAGGCTGCCCCCACTGGAGCTCTGGATGCTGCAGCAGCAGTGGCGGCAAAAATTAACGCTATGCTGGTCGCCAAAGGCAAACTCATGCCCTCGCAAATAAGCACCCCGGGACCCATTGAGAAGGTAAGATGCTCTATCAGCACGTATGCAGCACATCGATATTTACTCAAACTATTATTGTTTTCATGCAGTCCAAATACCTCCACTGTGTCTCACTTGTGCACAAAATATTATACTAACTGTAGCTATTTGTTCATCACTCCAGATGTGGGTGTGTGCATGGATGGCACACGTGGGCGCTGAGTAAACATGGTGTATTTCTTCTTGTTCATAATGCAAACAGAAAAAAACTAGTTTTACACCACGGCAACTATGGGTTTTGAAGGTGTAGCTGCACACACAAAGCCCATTTACAAAGGACACAGTATCTGCAATAAGTCTCAGTAACCTTTTACGTTGACTTCCTTCCACTCTCAGGTTATTGGTGTTGGAAAGACTCCAATGCCGGCAAAAGCCAAAGACGACCTGGTGGTGGCTGAAGTTGAGATTAATGAAGTTCCCATAAACTGTCGAAACCTCCTGACACGCGGTCAGACACAAGATGAGGTTAGCAGCACAGATGAGCCTGTTTTACAAAACAAGTGAGCTATTGCTCCGCATCTTTCATGTAAACATCGTGGTTTGTCTGTAGATCAGTAAAGTGAGCGGAGCTGCAGTTTCCACCAGGGGGCGTTTCATGACTGCAGAAGAGAAGATCTCGTCTTTGCCAGGGTGACTTTTCCTTTTATAGTTTTTTTTTATTAGCTCTCAGATGTGCCGTTAAACTCACAGTGATGAATCTGAACTGTTTCTGCTCGTTCTGCGCAGGGACCGACCGCTCTATTTACACGTTCAGGGCCAGACGAGAGAGATCGTCGACAGTCAGTGGTTTTATAAACTTGCTTTTATAAATTGGGAACGTTTGCTTCCTTCATCTCCTGTTTTAAACCTCTTTTTTTCTGCAGGAGCAGTTAACAAGATCAAAGAGATCATTACTAATGGTGTAGTGAAGGCTGCAACTGCTTCATCCTCCTCTTCAGCCTTCTCTCCCAGCGGGACCGCGGTCACCGTCTACCAGCAACACAGCCAGCCTCCACCGCCACCGCCCTCCGTCAGCAACCACAAACCTCACTTTCAGTCAGGGGTAAGAGTAGGCCTGTGCGGCGTAATGGGCTCGACACACGGGAGGCCACATCGCCTCTCCTCCATTCATTTTCAATGAGACGTGCGCGACAAAGCGATAATCGCGGGTCTCCCTCCTACTAAGCGAAACGCGAAAAACGTGCGTGTGAAATTTTGCGCTCGTGCACGTGTCGTGCACAGGCGACCCAACGACGCGATCCCAGAAAGTTGAAACATTTTCAACTTTTCATCGCTGTCGCTCGGACGAGGACCAATCAACGGAGGTTTCGTTCACTGACCAATGAGCGGTCAGGATGCTCCGTACATCTCCGAGCAAACATGGAGGATAAGTTGATTATTATTATGTTTTATAGTAAAATCAGAAGTAAGATTTCACACAACTCTAGCAGCACCTTGTGAAACATCATATCTACCGCTTTATTTACTCTGAACCACTTAAATAACCTTAATTCCCTCCAACCTGACACAGCCAAACAAAACAACGGAAGATTCGATTTCGCCACGGAACGGAACGCGTAGACGGCTTTGCCGCTGCCGCGGGTCGCCTCCCGTGTGTCAGGTAATAAAAGCGACAGCGACAAATTTCGCTGATCGCGGTCGTTTGTCGCCTCCCGTGTGTCGAGCCCGTAAGTGTATCTCCATAAAAGTCACAACTTGGTGCGTTTTCTGGTGAAGCCAGCAAATGTTCCGTCATCGTTAGATTTCATCACCCACAGCATTCCTCATAAATCTTCTTTTTACCCCATTTTTCAGATGCATTACGTTCAGAATAAGATCTTTGTGGGCATGGAGCACGCCGTCCCAGGGTTTGTGGTGAAAGAACGCATCGAGGGCCCCGGAGGCTCATACCTGCAGCACATTCAGGTTGAAACGGGGGCCAAAGTCTTCCTCAGAGGGAAAGGGTCGGGCTGCTTAGAGCCTGCCTCTGGGCGAGAGGCGTTTGAGCCCATGCATATTTACATAAGGTTGGTGCTGAAGTTACTAATCATGTTGGCCAGAGACGCTCGTTTTAAAACGATGCCTATGCTTATGTCATGTTGATTTTTCTTGCTGTGTGAATTTAATTGTTGTCCCCCCCCCCCCCAGTCATGCTAAACCAGAGGGACTCGCAGCAGCTAAAACCTTGTGTGAGAATCTGCTGCAGACAGTAAGTAACTTAATTATTGTAGCAAACTCTTTACTCAGGATGCTAAAAATTAAATACTGGAAGCACATTGGGTGATTATTTCCCTGTCATTCTAAATATTCCATCCGTTCTCTTCCGCTTATCCGGAGTCGGGTCGCAGGGGCAGCAGCCTAAGCAGAGAGGCCCAGACTTCCCTCTTGTCAGCCCGTTGGGTGAGCTCCTCCGAGGGAATCCCAGGGCGTTCCCTGGTCGGCGTGTCCCGGGTCTCCTCTAGGGTTGTCACGGTGTGAAAATGTAACCTCACGGTTATTGTGACCAAAATTACCACTTTTCGGTATTATTGCGGTATTTTTTTTAAACGTGTTACATTTTCAGACAGCTAAATAAACCCTGTATATCAGGAAATATTGTCCTCAGTTTGGGTCTAAATTTAGCCTAAAATGTGTTATTTTGTAATTATGTTGTTTATTTGTTTACATTTTTCTCCTTTAGTCTTTAAAATACCAATATTTGCCCATAACTTCTTATTTTATGTTTGTTTGATGTCATCATTGTAATAATATTAGACCAGATGATACTCAGTACTCAAGTAGCCTTCTAATCAGATACTTTTTTACCCTTACTTGAGTAATAAACCCTATATCAGGAAAATATTGTCCTCGGGTTGTGTCCTTCCAGTGAGCTTTGCAGATGTGGGAAAATGTCATCAGGCAGTAATCGTTGTTAAATTCATAATTATTCTCGGAGAGAGACCAACTCTTATCTGCCCCTGGGAGCCCCATAATGCATAGCGTCATTTCAACATGGCGGTGTCCGCGACACGGTTTATATGCAGGTAGCGGCGCTGCGGCTGCTTTATATAGCGACTTGTTGCGTTCTCCCTCAACCCAAATCCTCGGATCACGCGTTTTAGCTAAAACGCTAACGTTAGCTTGCCTTGCGTTGACTGTAGAGTTGTGGGTGATGGTCACGCAGATGTGTCATGAGATTTGAAGTGTTGCTGCCTTTCACAGACACTTTTTCTGCACGTGCTGCAAACAGGATAGCCGTCTTCTATCAAACGTCCCTCGGCATTCTTCAAATATCCATAAGATGCCCGTACTTCCCACTTTGTCTTCTTTGAGGGATAATAAATGTCCTGAGCGCTGCCGTCTCCTCCTTTGGCCATTATTTCAGCTTTAGCTTCAAGAAATTTTTGGTTGTAAACAACAAAGTGCACATGTGCCGCTGGCAACTTCAGCAGATGATACGGTGGCTGGTAAGGGTCACCGCGCCTACACCGCAGCCATGGTAATCCACCGAGATAATAGTTTTTAAAAACAAGACGGTTATTATTATTGTCAACTTTTTTTACCGGGGTTTACTGCTACACCGGTTACCGTGACAACCCTAGTCTCCTCGCGGTTGGACGTGGCCAGAAAACCTCACCAGGGAGACGTCCAGGAGGCATCCTGACCCGTGCTTCACACTGGAAGCACCAGCGGAGTGGAACGCTTTAATCTCAACTTTTGCTGCGTGTCTCTGTGAGAATCTCAGCAGCAGAGCGGCTTCTCTTGCTGGACTCACAAAATATTGCTGTTCGATGTTGCAGTCGGCTCAGCGAGAGCCGGAGATCGCGTTCTGATGAAGCCAACAGGACCGCATCATCTGCAAAAAGCAGAGACCCGATCCTCGGGTCACCAAAACGGATCCCCTCAACAACTTGGCTGCACTTTGTTATGAACAGAATTGATGACAAAGGGCAGCCCCGACGGAGTCCAACTCTCACCGGAAACAAGCCTGACTTACTCCAACAATTCAGACCAAGCTCTGACGCCGGTCATACAAGGACCTAACAGCTCGTATCAGAGGGCCTGGCGCCCTACACGCCCAGAGTACCCCCCACAGGACCTCCTGAGGAACGCGGTCGAACCCCTTCTCCAAACAAAATCCGGGACCCCCCTAAGAGTTTAAAGCTGGTCCAGCGTTCCATGAAGGACGAAAACCTTACTGTTCCTCCTGACCTCCTCTCCAGAACCCCTGAATGTGATCACAAATAATTCAGACGAATATAAAAACTGAAGTAGTTGAGGTGGTTTGGGCATCTGGTCAGGATGCCTCCTGGACGCCTCCCTGGGGAGGTGTTTCGGGCATGTCCTGCCGGCAGGAGGCCCCCGGGTCGACCCAGGACACGTTGGAGAGGTTACATCTCCAATCTGGTCCGGGAACGCCTCGGGGTCCTGCCGGAGGAGCTGGTGGAGAAGGCCGTGGAGAGGACGGTCTGGAGCTCCCTAGTTGGGATGCTGCCCCCGCGACCCGGACCCAGATAAGCGGAGGAAGCCGACGACGTTTTTTTTCAGCATCAGCAAACCGTAACCAGAACAGATCACACAGCAGTGTGTTAATTGAAGGCAGCGATATTATCAAGTTATTCATCTCTGCCGTTCGGTGGAAAACATATTTGGCTTTTGTCGTCGTCCAGACGGAGTTGAAAAACAAGGCGATCAGAACCTTAAGAGCTTCCTTTATCTGAGGATTGTCTCGCAGGCGTTTATCAGCTTTTACCAACAAAGTGAGGCGTGTAAAGTGAAAGGTACGCCACACAGACATGTACCTCCTGGTGGCTTCTGCAGATGTTCCACTGACATAACATTTTGCACACTAAAGAATAGATGGTGTAAGTGACTTTGTTCTTCTGCATGAAACAAGTATTTCCTGTCGTTTCTGGAAGGTGTTGATGTAGCTTAATAACTCGCACAGATTTTTTCTTTGCTCGTTGTTGAACATTTTAAGCCCTAACAGTCCTCACATACGACGCTCTCCTCCCCAGGTTCATTCTGAATATTCTCGCTACCTTAGTCAAATGAACACAGTGATGCCAACACAACAAGGTAAAACACAACTCGCACCTTTTTGTGTGTGGGTGACTTAGCTGTCTGGTTTTACATGTTCTGGTCTTGTCCTTCAGGCTTCACCCAGACTCCAGTGATGAACGAGGTGTCCCCTCAGCCTCCCTACTACCCTCCAGCTGGATACCAGTCTTCCTACTCACAGGCTGTGCCACCAGTTACGCCTCTTCCTGTCCCACCACCTTTTCCGCTCCCACCACCTGCACCTATGGCCGCACCTTCAGGCGTGCCCTCTCAGTACCCTTTACGCCCGGCCCCTGCACCTGTTCCTGCCCCCATTTCTACCCCCGTTCCTGCTCCCACTGTGGCTCCTGCTCCAGACACACTACAGCAGGTAAGGCTTGGCTATCATGTTAGCGATGTGTTGCTACAGATCTGATCTGTTTCACACAAGTTCTCACGGGGTTTTTGCTGCAGGTCATTCCACTAAACTGACATGTTTATATATGTATATTATATATATAATATATTATATATATATTATAAATATATATATATATTTATATAATGTATATAATATATATATATAATATATACATATATTTATATATTATATATATATATATATATATACATAATATATTATATATATATTATGTATATATATATTATAAATATATATATATATATATATATATATATTATATATATATACATAATATATTATATATATTATGTATATATATATTTATAATATATATACATAATATATTATATATATAATATATATATATTATATAAATATATGTATATATATTATATATATAATATATTATGTATATATATATATATTATAAATATATATATATAATATATATTATGTATATTTATATATTATATATATATACATAATATGTATATAATATATTATATATATAATATACATATATTTATATAATATATATATATTATATATAATATATATATATTATATATATAATATATATATATTATATATAATATACATATATTTATATAATATATATATATATTATATAAATATATGTATATATATATATATTATAAATATATAATATATATAGTAAGTATATATATATATATATATTATATATATTATATATATACATAATATATGTATATATAATATATATTATGTATATATATATATATACATAATATATATGAAATCAAATCAAACTTTATTTATAAAGCACTTTTCATGCACAGGAAGCAACACAAAGTGCTTAACAGATTAAAATGACCCATATAACCCACATTCCCTCCCTTTCCCACAGTTTCACCCCCAATCCACAAACCATTCCCAGGCGCGCGCGTGCACACACACACACACACACACACACACACACACACACACACTCGTCCACATTAAAAGACCACAGTAAACACTAGGCTGAGCTCAGATTGGACAGGTAATGAAAGACACGCCATCAAGGGAGCCATCTGCCTCGACAGCAGCAGATCCACAGCAGCAGCAAGACACCAATCCAGGGTGCCCTGGGAGGGAGGGTGACAACCCCCCACCATTACCTGGGCACTACCCAAGGAGCGCCCCAGCCGCCGCCACCGACCACCGGTCCTGAGGCAGAGGGCTCCACAGAGGAAACACTGGAAGGATGAAATACGTAACATGTAAAATAACAAGAGCTAATGTGGATAGTAAAATTTCCTATAAAATTTGATTATATAACTAAAACGACATAAATATGTAACACAACAGTGATTAAAATAAATAAGTAAAACAAGCAATGCAATAAATAGTAATCAGTTTAAAGCTAAACTAAAAAGGTGGGTCTAGAGCCTGTTCTTAAAAACATGAACGTTCTCCGCGGCCCTGAGATCCTCCGGCAGCCCGTTCCAGAGGCGAGGGCCATGATAACTCAAATATACAGCTGAGCAGATTCTTAAGACACTTGTACGACTAACTCTCCCGTAGGTCTCGACTCACTGAGACGTTGCTGGCTGCATTTGGGTCTGATGACACTTGTCCTTAAACCTGTTGCATTTCAAATAATTTAAGGATAAGAATCAAAGACATTGTGACAATGAGAAGCGTTTTGCAAAATGCAGGTTAAAGAAATGTTTGTATGCGTCATCGTTTTGTCTTTGTTTGGGTTCTGAGAGTTGATTCGGCGCAATCTGTTTCTCCTCTGTGCAGCAGACTCTTCCTTCTGTACATTTTCCTCCTCCTCCTGCCGCAGTGCCACCCAAAGCCCCGCCTCCCGCCGCTCCATCCAATCCCCCGCAGAAACGACGCTTCACCGAGGAGGTGCCAGACGAGCGGGACAGCGGCCTGTTTGGATATCAGGTAAAGAAAACGTTCTTTTGCACTCGCACCTCCTCGTGGGTCTGTAGTGGAGTTTACTCCTCCCTGGTGCTCCACTTCTTCATTTCCATATGTATTTATTCTCATTATTTCCCCCTCAGTGTGTAGAGTTCCTTCCTTTCAGCCAATCGTATTTAAGACCCGTCTAAAATGTCCAGCTTAATAATTCATCCTTCCTCCATTCCAACGTTTTATGATTGCTTTAGTTGTGACGTGTCTATCGTAAGGATCGAGGAACACCCGTGTAGTCAGACTTCTATTAAATATGATCAGTAAGTAAGTAAAACTTTATTTATATAGCACTTTTCACAGATAAAATCACAAAGTGCTTCACAACAAACATAAAAAGGCAAAACAGGACAGGAGCACAAGGTCAACTTACATAAAAGCTTGTCTAAATAAAGTGTCTTCAGCTGCTTTTTAAAAGAATCATCCGAGTCGGCCACACGAAGAAACAAGGGCCGGGCGTTCCAAAGTCTGGGAGCTACAGCTTGAAAGGACAGGTCCCCTCTAGTCTTAAATCTGGTCTTAGGGACCTTCAGTAGGTTCTGACCCGAGGACCGTAGCGTGCGGCCAGAAGAGTGAGGGATTAAAAGGTCTGATGAATATTGTGGAGCTTGTCCGTTAAGAGCTCTAAAAGTCAAAACTAAAATTTTAAATGTAAAGAAGATAAAACCGGTGTTCTTTGAGCCCTTCTATTGGTTCCTGTTAAAAGCCTTGCTGCAGCGTTCTGGACCAACTGGAGACTACTGACATCTGATTTGTTAAAACAAGTAAAGATAGAGTTACAATAATCCAGACGAGAGGAAATAAAAGCATGGATAATCATCTCCAAGTCCGAATTTGAAGGAAAAGCTCTCAATTTGGAAATGTTTCGCAAATGATGAAACCAGTTTTTTACTAAATGTTTTGAGTGGCAGCTCAAAGACATGGACTGGTCAAAAAGAACACCAAGGTTTCTGAGACTGGTCTGGACTGAGGAGCTCGGGGAACCGAGGTGTTGTTTGATTAAAAGCACTTTCTGTTCAGGAGCGACGATCAGTGTTTCAGTCTTGCTTCGGTTCAACTGAAGACAGTTACTGGCTAGCCAGTCCTTAATACGCTCAATGCAATCTAGTAGATCAGCTAACTTGTTAAACTCTTGGGCCATTCCCATCTGTACCGGGTCGGCCCGGGCCGGGTAGCGTAGGTTGTTTACATATCTGGGTGGCCTGGTATTTTTCCGGGCCAACCAAGGCTCATTCTCAGCCTTTTTCTCGAGGGGGTCTGCTTCAGGCCGACCAGGGCCAACACACCCACTGCTGACAGCAAATTCACACCTTCCATTAGAGCAAGCCTCTGATTGGTGGGTAAAATCAGCCCACATGGGCTTAAGACAAGGATGTGTGGAATCAACCGGGCCAGGCTAGGGCCGACTGGGGCTACCCGGCCCGGGCCGACCCGGTACAAATGGGAATGGCCCATCTGTGTCCTTGAAAGAGCAGTACAGTTGAGTGTCATCTGCATATAAATGGTAGGAGACATTAGTAAAGCTTTTAATAATCTCCCCAAAAGGGCAAATATATAAAAGAAACAAAACTGGGCCAAGGACCGAGCCCTGGGGAACACCGTGAAGCAAAGATGTGACTTCAAACCTACTCTTGTTTACACATAAAGAGAATGTTCTGTTATTTAAATAGGAAGAACACCACTTCAGAACCGTACCAGAAAATCCTGTCACTGTGTAGTCCGTATATGAGGTGTCAGGACAGCGTCTAGAGGAGGATGTCTGCTAATTGTGGCTGTGTGTTTTTCTGCTCATAGCATGGACCCATTCATATGACTAATTTAGGTGCAGGCTTCTCAGTGGGCAGCGCGGATGCTGCAGGACCCCCACCAACGAGTTCCTCTGGCCCGGCCAGTGAGAGGAACAGGTGTGTGTAGATTTTATTTCTTTATTTTTGGTGAAAGTCGCCGAGGCGATTCACGTAGTCTCGTCGTTTTGTTAGGCAGCTGATGCCACCGCCGCCGGCTCTGCCTGTTAACGGAGTCCGACTGAAGATGGAGGAGATGAGGACGCCGCACGGCCCCGTGGGTAAGGACGTAGACCTGTGCAATGACAAGTCCACCTGGAAACCTAAGTGCAGTTCTCTTGAGCGCGACTAAAATCTGGGATTTGTGGGTCTCAAACACCCAGCTGATGAATTAGGATAACATATTTAATGCAGCCTGAGTCAGCGTGGCTCCCTCTTATAATCCTTGCAGGATTCTGCTGGTGTGACGTCATGTCTCCAGACTTAAAACTCTTTGTGTAGCACTGTCGTGTTCTGATGACATCAACAGTTTGGATTGTTTTTCTCTCCTTGCTAATGAGAATATCTCCTGTTTTTGTGTTTTCTCTCTTTTTTTCTGTGTTTTTCTTCTCTTTCATGTATCTCGGGGGTGATGCTGGACGTTGATTGGGGGCGGGGCATGACTTGACTCGTGACACCGTCCTGCTGCTCGATCGGGCGGCCCAAACTCGGTCGGCTGCCCCCCCTCCTGTACTCTGACATGAAATAATCTATTAACTATTTGTTTCTCCCAAAAACTGATGTTTGTAACAATGAACTCGTCGCGTTTGAGACGTGTTTTGTTGTTTTTTTTTCTGTGTGTGTTTTTCCTTTTGTTCTTCTCTCAGAACCCGCAGCTAAAAGGCAGAAAACCGGTTTGGTGGCATACGCAGGAGACTCCAGTGATGATGAGGAGGACAGCTCCTCCTCAAAAGCCTCCTGGCCAGGTAACCACAGGGCAGCTCCCCCCACCGCTGCCTCCCCAGGCTGGACTCAGGGCTATCGCTCCACGCCTCCATCGGCTCCTCGTGCCAAACCACAATCACAGTCGATGCCTTTCTGGATGGCACCATAAAGCTGGAATAATCTAACGTTCCTCAGTCTTACAGGACCTCCACCCGAACTGAGCCTGTCGGTTTCCACCGCAGCCGTCTGCTGGCTTCAGCATCATTTTAGTCCTTGGGTCCAAATGGACAAACAGATGTTTTCTGCATCTTTAATGTTGTTTATTCCTCCCTCCAGTGAAACACGTGATAGGTGGGAGTCAACATCTGCACGACTGATACTTGACCTGAATTTGTGGATGTGTAAATATTCAGATGAATAAAAAAATCTGTCTTAACTTTGGTTTCAGAATGAATCAAACCCGCACCTCAAAGCGTTAGAAAATGACGTTTTTGTAAAAGCATTGAACAAAGTTCTGTTTTTGTTCAGGAGCGATTTATTCTTTCTAACATCTTCATTTTTTCTGTCTCGTTTCCACTTTTTTGTCATTTTATTTTTGGTACAGCTCTTATTGGAGTTTACTGTAGTACATAAACTGAATGGACTGCTTTCTTTTATGAAATAAATGTAATTTATTTGGGTGCTTGTTAAAGAGCTTTTTTTTTTACATGGTGAATGTTACTAATTAGGGTTTCATCATTTAATGAGACGGGATCAAAGCAAACGCCTAATTTCTTTCTTCCAAATAAAAAAAGTATTTCAGATTTTTATTTGATTTGATTTTTATTCAAACTTTAAAATTAAAATAGAAAATAAATATTTACAGACAAAACATACCAGAAAATAATGAAAAATAGTTCTCAAATATATTTAATCTTTAATATTCTGCTCGAAAAGGAGTAGGAAGAAGCTAATGCTTATTTGTGTGTGTGTCGTGGTGGATGGCTGCTTATTCTGAGCCAGGATCCTCTGGAGGTTTCTTCCTGTTAAAAGGGAGTTTTCCTCTCCACTATCGCTGCATGCTTGCTTAGTATGAGGTTTGCTGTAAAGACTCTGACTCTAAGGGCTGCACAGTGGTTAGAGCTGTTGCCTTGCAGGAAGAAGGTCCTGGGTTCGCTTCCCGGCCTGGGATCTTTCTGCATGGAGTTTGCATGTTCTCCCTGTGCATGCGTGGGTTCTCTCCGGGTACTTCGGCTTCCTCCCACAGTCCAAAAACATGACTGTTAGGCTGATTGGTCTGTCTAAATTGTCCTTAGGTGTGTGTGTGTGTGTGTGTGAATGGTTGTCTGTCTGTCCTGTGTGTCTCTGTGTTGCCCTGCGATGGACTGGCTCTCTGTCCAGGGTGTACCCCGCCTGATTGCCCGTTGACTGCTGGAGACAGGCACCAGCCCCTCCGCGACTCTGCGTGGACAAAGCGGGTTCAGAAGATGGATGGACTCTGACTCTAGTCAGTGACTCGATGCAATTTGCTGGGTTCCTTATATGGGAAACTTTTTTCTGATTGGCTTAACAAACTGACCTGTATTGGAATGTTTATTATGTGAAGGTCCTTGAAATGACTTGTGATTTGGCGCTTTATAAATAAACTTGAATCCTACCCTTTCCTCACTGATTCGTGGTTAAGTTTGGAAAGCTATAAACTTCTTGGCTGCTAATAATCCTTTTAGATGCAAGTTTGAAAAATCACATTTTCTTTTAATCTTTCAGCTCGATTTCAACAATTCTCTTCATCAGTGAGGGACACTGAGGATATGAGACGCATCAGGAGAAAAATTTCAGTTATAAAGTTTCTGAAATGTTGATTTTTTTAAATAGCTTTCTAAACATTTGACATGTTTTATAAAAAAAAAAGCAATAGATACTTCGAAGTGTGACTTTAATCATTTGGCTTGCTGTGTCCACCTGCATAGACGGGGCATCTGCTGGTCTACTGTTAACCCAAATTCCTCATTCCTCTTCCGCCCAAAGCTAACAAACCAGACTCCTTTTTTAGACCATAAACTAACATGATGTAGGGGCTTTTTTTTTTTTTTTTGCTAGAAAGGTGGCCCAAGACCAGGTTTGCCTTCAAGGACTGATGAGTCTATGAGCTGCTGATGTGAGATAAACAGGCCTTGGCATAAGGCTTTCACCTGTTCTGGAAAGAGCCTCACAGACCTCCCTGTGGCTGCGCAGCAGCGCTATAGGTCAAGCGTGGCGTGACCTCTCCTGCTACAGAGCTCCACAGATAGAGCAGCATCCTGCTCCTGTCGGGGTCAGCGGTCCACTCGTATGATTTTTTTTTGAGGCCTCGGCTTTTGAAAGATTTGAGTTGCAGGTCTGCTGCTTCAGCTTAACTAACTTGAGAAGATGGGTGAACAGTACATCACATCCTGCTCTATCTTCACTTGACTACAAAGCTAGAGGGGTACAAAAAGTTACAATAAAATTGCTTCATGAGGCCCCCTTTGGATCGTGAAATATCGACGTGGAAGTTCACCTAAAGCTCTTAACGATCATCTGTTACGGAGATTGTTTATAAAATGTGTGACAGGGTGAGCGTCCTGTCACTGTATCCCGATTGATCACGCACCCTGGGTACTCGGCCAAGGCGATGCACCTTTGGCTGACTGGTTAGCGTGTGACCCTCACCCGGGAATCTGGGGATCAGTGGCGGCTGGTGAAAAATATTTTTGGTGGGGCTGTGCTATTTTTTTTTAAACAAACTTGTGCTTTCTGAGCTTTCTGCACAACTTCACTATTTCCTGAATTAAGCACAGCTCTTTTATTTCCTGTCTTACATCATTGGACAAACTGATTAATCCAGGTGTGTCTGACTATTGGCACGCTGCCTTGCGGACCAAGGTTGAAAAATACTGCATTAAATTGCACATAAAATAACATGACCATAAATGGTAAATAGGCAATGCAAGAGGCAAGTAACAAAAACATTTTGTTTAATTTCAACATTTGAGTGAACACGAAAAATTATGAGCAGGTCACTGTTACAGTAATGGTAGTAAACACTACTTAGACAAAATGCCAGAAATTTACACTGTTAGGACTTATGGAAAGTGGAAACACTTTCATAGGAAATAATGTCATCAGTATTTTCTTACAAATGTCATATTTCCCACTTTTTGGGACAAATCAGAAATGTTTTATTGTCCCAAAAGCTGGGAAATTTGTTTGCTGCAGCAGAAGTGTAACAAGTAAAATGGAATCAGATTGATGTATGTACAAATTTACTTGAAATACACATTTACATGATTAAATATGTATAATAGGTATGTGTGATGAAATTAGTTTTTACAGTTATTGCACATTAAACAATGTACATGCTATTAAACAAACGTCCCGGTTTGTGGGACAACCAAGGATTTCTGATTCTGATTGTCTTGTTTACAGAAATGTAATGTACAGCTTACCTCTGCACCCAGCTGCTGTTCTCCCTGTCCAAACGTCCTCCGTTTCTTTGTTGGCTGCTGCACTGATGCGCTGCATTCCTCAGTCAGAGAATGAATGGAGTCCCCAATGAGACACAAGTTCCACATCCACCTTCTGTGGATCCCAGCCGTTTTGAATAACAAACACAGAAAGCAAAATAACTCATTAGCGTGATTGCATCCAGCTAGCCACTGCTTCCTGGTGTACCAATTTTGGGAGAAGCGTCGTGTGTACAGTTTACCTCTCTCCTCCTCCTGCTGGCTTATCTTTACGTCGGGCTGATCTGGTCCAAGCTCTTTGACATTAAGTTTTTCCACCATAGTTCTCCTCTCGAACGGATACTGGAGAAGAGACCGAACTGAATTCAGTGGCTGCTGAGATCCGGTATCCATGTTGTAGGCGCACTGGCGTCCATGTCTACGTCTGCGTCATGACCGTCACGAGTCACGACCAAAAACGTGCTGGAGTCGAGACTCTCCGAGTTCTACCGAACACCAACGAAAGCCCTGGTGGTAGCTCTATCGCCCATCATGCTTCTGAAACGTTCTGAAACAACGTCGACGCTGATTGGATACATTCCCATTCCTACCCTTTGATTTTCTTGTCAGCAATTGGACAACTGGTCCCGTCTTGTTTGGGCGATTGAAAAACAGCACACAGCCTCCACCGCTCGGCAGAGACCGGCAGAGATCGGCAGAGATCGGCAGAGACCAATATATATATATATATATATATATATATATATATATATATATATATATATATATATATATATATATATATATATATATGATTTATTTTTTTTACAAAACACACAATTAACTTAGAATATGTGATTATTGTTAATTTTATTTATTTATTTTTTAAATAAAAATTAAAAACACAGGGGAAACTGGGAGGGCGGTGCCCTATCGCCCTCTACTGGCCAGCCGCCACTACTGGGGATCAAATCTCGCCCGGGCCCTCGATTCTCCACCCTGCCATAAATGCTTCTGGGGTTCAAGGTGGAGAGCCACGGATGCTATGAAGTAATGTTTTCTTTTACTGCACAATTAATCACATTAGGTCAATAATAAAAGTGTTAGATCATCATTTGCAAATGGTGCATGATGTGAAAACGAGGTAAGAATGACATCCTGTGGTAACATCTGGGTACTGTATGTTTCAAAACGAATGAGTGACAGTCCCCACTCCCGTTTCCTGAGTTTCGTGGCTGTCGCTCAGCAACAGAAGGCTTTAGATGACGAGTGAAGATGAGTCACACACAGCAAGTTGATAAGTAGATAAATAAATTTCACTGTAATATCTAAGTTGGTAACTGAAAAAGTAGCTTTAAATATTTTTAGAGCTAAATAATTGAGTGTTAGCATCGTCAGCTCAAGGTTAGCCTGTAGCCTTCTTTACACATAAAGTAACAATAGATTATTTTAAAAACTTTAAGCTAAAACTTTAACATTGATCCCAGTGATGCGGAGTTAGAAACTTGACCAGTTTCATATCTGACACCACTCTGCTGCCCTCTGCTGACCAAAAACTGCACTTTACAGTTTTATGGAGTGGGTAGGTTCTCTATAGGGGAGCTCTTTACCTGCTTTACCACTGTTAGCTGTGATAATAGCGGTTAGCATTTTCAGTTTGACGAAGGCACAAGAAGAGAAGTTTCCTTTTTCTAATGGCATCACGGCAGAGCCTGGAAATAAAACAGAATAATGTTTTTGGAGGTGAACCAAAGAGCTAAAACCAGAGTGAACATCGGCGCAGCCTACGCTAGTTTGAGGGAGTTAAAGGTTACAAAATCACAGACTGATGGTGACCTGGCTTTGTTGCTTCTGTACTTAAAATATACTTATAAGTAACAATGTTTCTTGTCCAGCAGTGTGGATCATTTAACTTTGTGGTTTATTTTAGTATTGTCTGGCTCATGATAGTGTCAGCTCGTTGTTGGCGCTAGCTACAGCAGGCTGCAGTAAGGAGTCGTAATTCCACTTTCAACCAGTAGGGCGGAGGAGCAGAAAACTGCTCTGTGTTCCTTTGGGGTAAAACAAAAAGATGCTGTGGTTTCTTAGGGGTACAACAAAAAAGAAACATCTGGATCACTCCAGTTTACTGGCTTAGAAACTTTGCAAAACCTTGCTGCGTTTTGTTTACCGTTGTCGAATTTCAAATGTCGGCCCAGCAACATTAGCTCACACTCGACATACCCACAGACTCTCAGAGTGTAAACAAAGACTCTTGAGCTTTTTTGAAAGGAGAAAAACTGACAAACCCTTTGGCAGACTGAGAAGTGAATCTGTTTCTATGTAACCTTCCATCCAACACGAACTAGACACTGTTTTGTGACTATTTAACTGTAAAATCCTTACATATTGTCCCTTTAATATGTGAATAAGTTATATCTTCAGCTATTTAATAAGGTGTATTAAAGCGTTTTATTCCCGAAAACTTAAATATGCTTAGAATATTGATTTAGTTTAATGTGAACCCAAGTTATTTTATGCAAGGTGATTCGAAAAGCTTGAGAATTATCAAACTTTTATTTCATAAGAACTCATTTGGGTTCCTTGTTGTCTAGGAATCAAGAAAGATTAGGAAAAAAGTGACACTTCATAAAAATAAACTGTTGTATATTTTCTCCACCAGAGGGAAGACTCTTAATGGAAGATATTCCACTTCTCTCGTCAGTTTTCCGTGGTCAAATGCTGAGCATTAAGATCTTTCAAATCTATTTTAAAAAAATCATAAAAATGAATAATTAAACCCCTTAATAATTTAGTAAAACAAATGAAAAAGGCAAGCTTAGATATGTTTATTTTTGTTTTTACATCAGCTGAAACAAATCATGGGAAGATGAATTTGTATCTCTGAGAAGGTCCTCTAAAACAGAAAGACAAAAGTAAATTGTATCCCTGATAGATCGATCGGCCTCTACTCGGACCGTCCCCAAGTCCCCCTCACCGAAGCCAAGAAAAACAAAGGGCATCGCATAGAAACACACACTTCACAGCCGACGTCAGTTAACCGTCATCCATTCACAAAGCGTACCAACACCCTTCACGCACAGTACCAACTGCCAAACTGCTTTTCCAGTACGACAGGTTCCAGCCAGGCCAGTAGTTTCCTTGCATCGCCACCATTTGCACAGAAAGTTCCTTCATTTGGTTTTGGAAAACTAAATCTAATATTCTGAAACTACCGGAAACACACTTGCATGAAGATTACCACTCACCCCGCAGCACCGGTTTCTCCCCATTTTACATTTTGTTTAAATCATTTAGTGCATCGCTCAAGATTTCCTGAGAATAGTTGCAGCACAAAAAAAAACGACAAAAAAAAAACAACCCCTAAGGCAACTTTATCACAATATATATTATATTTTTCTAGAACTCTGCGAATGTGCTGAAGGATGAGTATGTACGTTGGATTTACAGAAGCCATTATTTCAATCAAGATAGCTAATGGACCCCTAGACCAAAAAAAAGTAAAAAGCTTGGAGCTCTCAAATCTCATAGTGCAAATAAATAAGAAACAAAAGAAGATATAGTACACCCAAGACCAGACTAGCACATCTGCTATAGGAACAGGAATGGAAGGAACCAACAAAGCCAGGTGAGGTCGCAACATTTTTGGTCAAAGATGATCAAACTCAAAAGATAATGGCCTCATTAGTCACAGAAAACCTACAAGAACTGCCGAACGTAAAGTACAGGACATGAGGTGTTGCGGAAAGGTCAAAGGTGTCAGCCTCCTGACCTCGATGCCCTGATCCTGCTAACCTGAAGTCTGGAATGTGCCTGTGTTGCTGCCGTACACGGCGGCTTGAATGTGCAAAGACTGCATCCGAGGAAAGAAAAAGAGTCGAAAGAAGACGATCTCTGGAAAAGGCGTTCGGGTGCATGGAGGCGTCGAGCAAAAACCTTTAGTGCAATGCCGTTTCTTGGATGTTTTCAGAGAACGGATCTGGGTTAAGCTCTGGGTTTGGTTTATTAAAAAGCAAAAGAGCCGCAATAAATATCAATAAATAAATAAATACACAGACAGGGGAGCGTCGTCTTAATCCCTACACCTCGTTGATCTTCTGAGTGCATTGGAAGACTGAAGTCCACGGTTTCTAGGAAGGAATAACATTATTGATATTAACTTGCTGACCCAGATTTCGTCCCTTTTGGTCCGGCGTTCAGCGCAGAGCTTTACGGAAGCAGAATCTTTTTCATGGCTTTCAAAAAGAGTCGGGATGAAGTTTCTCCTCCAACCCAACATTGGCTACAATCCTCCTATCTCCTCTTCTGTTCAAAAAACAAAACAAATGAGCGGATCTTTGGTTTAAACACCAAATTAAAGCAGATTATTGCTCTTCAACTCACAGAAGTGACTCGTCAGACTGCATTTCCATTGATAACCACCAGAGAACAGTGGGCATAGAAACCATGCTGAGTTCTAGGTAATGGGAAATTCTAATTGCACCTGAATGAGAAGACCTAGGAACAGAAATAAACATCTTCGAACATCCGTCCACGCTGCAGCAGCTCTGGATTTTGGTTTGCATAGTGAAAAGCATTCCAGTCACACACACACACACCGGAAAGACGGAAAACAAAATCAAATTAGAGAGCTCAAACCAAAAATACTCGACAGCAAACAAAAGAATCCAATCAAACGCCAAAAACCAGAAGACCAACATTTAAAACATCTCAGAAACCCGTTTTCCTTTATGTCGTTTTTTAAGTCCGTTGTGATATTATTCCGTTTTTTAAGTGCTCTCTGTGTGGGAGCAGCAGCTCATCAGTCCAGCCACCTGAGTGGACCGTATATTTTTTACTGTGGATATTTACCACACACAAAGTCCCTTTTCCCCATCATTCCCCGTCTTTGGCCTCTTCCTCTCCTCCGTCCTCCTCCGCCTCATCGGCCCACCTGTCACGCTGCAGAGCTGGTGAGCGGGTTCTTCCTGGATCTTCTCCCTCCGTCTTCCTGCCTCCCAACAATTCCAACCCTCGCAGCAAAAAATCATGGTAGCCGGTCAGCCTTTGAGGCCCGAGGTGGGCCAACGCCTGAAGAGCAAGTGACTGCTCCTTCTTGATGTCGCCTGCAAATATCAGTGGAGGGCCCCCCACGGATACGCCACCGCTTTCCAGGCCCGGGTGAGGGTGGAAAACAGAGGAGTGGGCCTGGAACGGCAGAGGACTGGACCGCTCCATCCCGCCTTCATCCGGTCCCCCGTCCTCGGCCAGCTCGAGCCCACGCCTGGGCCGGCGCGTGCGCTGTTCCAGACAGCTGTGGCCCTTGCGGTGACGCTGGAGGTGGTCCTCTCGGGCGAAGGCCTTGTGGCAGAGCGGGCACTCGAAGGGCCGCGCCCCGCTGTGGAGGGACAGGTGGTTTTTGAGGTCGTACGAGTGGAGGAAACGAGCAGGGCAGTGAGAGCAGGTGTAAGGGCGCTCGCCCGTGTGTTTCCTCATGTGGATCTTTAATTTATCATTGCTGAAATGACAAGAGGCAATCCTTAGAGAAAAGAGATGGAAGGTAAACGTTGGAAAAACAGAAATGCAGATTTTTGTTTTCCTACCGTGTGAAGCGAACTCCGCAGGCGGAGCACTGGAAGGGCTTCTCTCCGGTGTGCGTCCTCATGTGTCGAGGCAGTTTTCCTGCTCCGTGAATGATTTTCTGACAGACTGGACACTGTTGGGGGGTCTGAGACTTCCTCTTCCTCCCCCCTCCTGCTACAGATGTGGTTGCCCCTCGATCGGCTACAGAGACGGGTACGGAGCTGCTTCCCATCATCATCGCATCATTGTTTAAACCCTCCATGTCGTCCTCAGAAAGCTTGATGTTCTGGATGGGGGGAGGGTGGGCTATGAGGGGGCGGTCCTGGGACCAGTGAAGGAACCCTCCGTTTAGTGTGGCCCCTATTCCCGGCTCTTTGATCGGCCTTGGGTCCCCGTTCTGCTTGAGTTTAAAGTGAACCTCTTCTTTCTCTGGGCTGGGGGGCTGAGTGGAGGGCAGGGATCGGTAGCTCTCAGATGCAGGTGAGGGGTGTGAGGCGGGGGAGGCAGGCAGTGGGTTCAGAGGTGAGAAGTTGTTGTAATGTGGCCTGATTTTCTTCACCTTATTCTTGTCCTTTCTCCTCGACCCTTTCTCAACAACACTCTCCGACTTCACCGCTTTCTGTTTAGCTGCTTGTTGGGGTCTCTGCTCCTCTGCCGTCTCCCCCTCCGTCTCCGCCGTCTCCCCCAGGATGTCCCTGCAGGCGTCTGCCACACACTGGATGCCCAGAAGCTGAGCTCCTCGCAGCACATCCCTCATCCCAGAGCTGGGAATTGTCAGCGTGGCAGTGTAGGCAAATTCCAGCAGGGCGTCCAAGGCGTCAGGGGCAACGCAGTCCAGCTGGCACACACTAAAGCCCCCACCTCCCTCGCCACCGCCTTCCTCTGCCCCAAACAGCCTGCGGAAGTAGAGACTAACGGCGGCCATGACGGAGCGATGCGTTGGGTAACGAGCCCCGTGGGAGGTAAGGGTGAGGTCACACAAGAGTCCCGTCCTCCTCTGATGATTGAGGTGAGACAAGAGCTCGTTGCTGTGCTCCGGGAAGGGGATCCCAATTAGACCGTCCTCTCCTGGAGACATCGCCACCTACATCGCAGAAAGAGAAGTCAAACATCTGGGACAGCTGATGGCAGAATAAATGACCAATTGCTCTAAAGGTTTTTGAGCTAATCTGCAAGTAAGGAAATAAAAGATGGAATTAGGAGGTCCAACGGCATCTGACAGAAAGTTAAAAATGTGATTTCATGAACTTCTTACCAATATTTGTTTGGTCATTATGACGGGATTATTCGTAAGAGTGTAAGAATAATGACAGCACTGCGTGTTTTTTCTATTCTAACAATTACGACTGTAGAGCCATGAGCATCTTATAAAGTGCATTTCAAAAGATGATTTTATGTACGAATGGAAAACAAATGCATCCAAATCAACCTGGTACTGTCTGATAAAGTAACTGACCCTAAACTTAATAACTGATTGTAACTCTTGACAGCAACAACTGCGATCAAGCCCCTGCGACAGCTGATAATGGATCTCTGAAATTGGTGTGGTGGTCCAACTTTCCTTTACAGAATTGTTTTAATTGAGCCACATTAGAGGCTTTTATAGTCTAGAAGTCTAGAAAACCTGCAGCATTAGCACAAGATTTTGCTCCACTCTATAAGGTTGGTTTACGCTTGACGCGTCCACGAGGTTCGCACAGCGCCGCGCGGAAAAGTTGCGTCATTTTAACAACCACGCCCAACCACTCCCCTCCACACGGCCCAAACTTTCCGCACCGCGCACCTAGGAAATTTTCTAACCACGCGGATGGTCGGACGCGGAAAAACATAGCGGACTGGCAAGAACTAGTATAGCTTGGTTTAGGCTTGATGCATTCACATTCCGCTTGGTGATGCGGCTCGCGGATGGAACGCGCTTCACAACTCGCAGCGTTTATGGTTCATGCGGCTTGTCTCTGCGGTGAGCCAATATTCTCCCAAACTGTAGGGGGCAGCATGGAGCTCTACGGCATGCATCCAACACTACACCATAGTAGAAGTAGAAATTACTGTTTACAACATGGCATTCCAGCATTTTTTAACAGCGTCCTCGTCTTTTCCAACAGTGCGAGCTATTTCTCTCCAAGAATTATTAACAACATGTTGATCACGGTGATCTCTGAGAGCTGAATCATATAAATGTCTGTATTTACGAACTCGGGGGAGAGGTCCTACCTCAAGTGGAGGAGTTTAAGTATCTCGGGGTCTTGTTCACGAGTGAGGGTAGGAGGGATCGGGAGATCGACAGGCGGATTGGGTCGGCGTCTGCAGTGATGCGGACGCTGAGCCGATCTGTCGTGGGGAAGAGGGAGCTGAGCCAGAAAGCCAGGCTCTCGATTTACCGGTCGATCTACGTCCCAATCCTCACCTATGGTCATGAGCTTTGGGTAATGACCGAAAGAACGAGATCGCGGATACAAGCGGCCGAAATGAGTTTCCTCCGTAGGGTGGCCGGGCTCAGCCTTAGAGATAGGGTGAGGAGCTCGGACATTCGGGAGGGACTCGGAGTAGAACCGCTGCTCCTCCGGATCGAAAGGAGCCAGTTGAGGTGGTTTGGGCATCTGGTCAGGATGCCTCCTGGACGCCTCCCCGGGGAGGTGTTTCGGGCATGTCCTGCCGGCAGAAGGCCCCCGGGTCGACCCAGGACACGTTGGAGAGGTTACATCTCCAATCTGGTCCGGGAACGCCTTGGGGTCCTGCCGGAGGAGCTGGTGGACAAGGCCGGGGAGAGGACGGCCTGGAGCTCCCTAGTTGGGATGCTGCCCCCGCGACCCGGACCCGGATAAGCGGAGGAAGACGACGACGACGACGACGATTACAGCACTCTATGTTTGTAGAGACGTTGGGCAGGCTTAGCACCAGAGCTGCGATGGGGAAAAACACAAACTGCACTTGTTATAAACGGCTTTGATATAAACTTTGGACTATTCAGACGTACGCTTTTCTTTGAGACATTTTGAAAAAGGAAGCATTTGTATGGCAGACTGCCCCATTCACCGATTTCTGTAGCGATGAATACATCATGTTTGTTGTAGATTCCAGCCCACGACTACATTCTGTCTATCGGTTGTGACCAGACGACGTACCCTGTAATCGGAGACTCTCTTTTGGATCCGAGATGTCAGGGGGGTCGGGTGACCCCAAGGTACCAAAGTTCATGGAAAAACCGCAGTACGACCAGGTCAGTCCAGAGTCGTCTCCAGGTTACAACACACAGTTGAGTTTGTTGAAGTCCGTCGAGCCGAGCTGAGTTTGTTTCCAGCTCAGACTCCGGAGTGGCCAATCCGGGACCAGCCTCTTTGAAACATTTCTCTGACATACAGTCAAAACCTTTTTGCATGCTTCAAAGCTGACACAGCAAGACTCCTTAAGGGTCCAACCGTTCGAGACGCAAAACAAGTCCACCTGTTTGTTGTGACCTGGCGACGACTCTGGACCGACCTGGTCGTACTGCGGTTTTTCTACGAACTTCGGTATCTTGGGGTCACCTGACCCCCCGACATCTCGGATCCAAAAGAGAGTCTCCAATTACAGGGTACGTAGACGCAGCTAGATTGCGTCTGATGTGGTTCTATAAATGATCTGGTCTGCTATAACTCTCTAGTTATAGCAGACCAGATTCTTTACACCCAGAACTCACAGTTTCTTCCAGATAAAAGGTTCTGAACACACATCACCATACATTCATCCTTCACACATCGTTTTCGTAACTTGTCATTTAATATAATCAGTCTAGGAAATAAAGTTTATTTTAATTATTGACTGTCTGAATTAATACGAAGTGTGTTTATGGTCAACGAATAAGCAAATAATCTTAAATTCTTCCGGTTAAACTTTCAAAGATCAATCAAGTTGATATTCTATTTGATATTCTATATTAATGTAGAATCATCACATCTTATTGATCATAATTTTAACAACACCTATCAGTAGATATCTCTACATATCTTTACATATATAAGATGGCTTGTCAGGCTAGGGTTTTCCAGCGCCAACATCTTGTTTAAAGGGACTTTACGGACTTTTGAATTTTTATGCTTCAATAGTAGACTCGTGCACGAGGCACGCATGCTGTACGTGCACACTCCTTAATGAAAATAACAGCTGAGACAGTCCCGTGTGTGTGGGTGTGGGGGGGGGGGGGGGAGGACAGAGGACAGGAGAATGCGCAGCTAATTAATTAAATAATGTGGTTCTGTACCTTTCTCTTCAGCACAGCCGACAAAGGTTTATGATGGGTCAGTCCTCCTGCATGCTCAGATCATTCCCTTCCCTTGCTTGAAAAATTGTTCCAAAATGAAAGTTGAACCCACATCTTTTTTATCTGTGAATTCAATGCCGTTCGGCGAGTCTCAAATAAAAATTTGGGTATCTTAATGTAAAAAAATATACCACTAATGTAAAAAATAAACTCTAAATAAACTATGTTCACATCCAGAATCAAACCCAGGTCTTCTGTGCGGGAGTCAGACATCTTACAAGGTGAGCTACACTCTAGTAACATGTATAGCAACTGTAACGTTTATATCCTTGATGACAGCTGAAACAACGTCAAACCAAAGAACGGTTCGGAGCGAAAATGGCTATTTTGTTGCTAATTTGCAGGAAATATCTAGAAGAAAGTTCTACAGAAAGTAGCTAAGGGTCCTCAGAAATGTAGCTAGCTTTGTCACTAGGCGTTAGGAACAGCGACAAAGTGGCACTGCCTCTCTCTCTGCTGCTAAAGCTACGGATAGCAAATGCTACGGGCGATGCCTGAGCGTGAACGCGCATGAAGCAGCCTGCTCGACCCGAGCATCTCTCTTTTTCTGTGATTTTACAGAAAAACAGGCAATCACAGTAAAAATGCCAGGGCTCATTCTACAGGACCAGGGCATTGCAGGAGAATGTATGAAGAAGACATTTATTATTTCTATACATGTTTTGGCTGTCAAACTTCCATAATGCCCCTTTAAGGTCACAGGTCACCTAATCTCCTTCTGGATTTTCTAGTAGAGAATATAATTCATGATTCCATCAGTTACAGCAAGTCATCAAGGTCCATCACACTGCCGCCACCATGTTTCACTGTTGGCGTGACGTTCTTTTCTCAAAAGCAGTGCCAGTTAGACACCAGATGTCTGGGACACACACCTTTACAAACATACACAGAATATTTTTGGAATCCCAGAATAGTTTTTGGTAAATATGAGACAGATTTTGTGTTCTTTTACGGCCTGTGGAGGTTCTGGAACCGCAACTCTCCCATGGATGCTAATTTAGCTCCTTTGGTCTCTTTCTTACTGTTGAATCATAAAATGATGAAATGAACCTTAACTAGGTTTGGTCTGCAAAGCTATACGTTGGGTCTTTTTATTCCTGAATCTTCAGAACGGAGCGTGTTGTTTAGCCTTTTGAGATCTTTTAGCCTACATCATGCTGTCAGTTCTGAAGTGAGTTTAGGTCTGGTAGCAATCAGGCCTGGCTGCGGCCGCATGAACTGAATTCACTTCACTAAATAATAATAATCAGTCAGATTTGGTACAACCAGATGTAGCTGGCCAAGTAAAAATCAACCATTCCTCAGTCAAATACTCATCTTTCCTAAAATATCCCAATCTACTGGATTTAGAATATTTTTGGAGTGCATTGGATTTTCACAGACATTTATCTTTATTATTACTTCTATTAGTACATCCTTGCAGTTCCAAAGACTAAAAGATCCCCCAGCTCTTCTGCCTGAGAGGCATGCTTAACCTTTCTAAAAGTAGCGCGACTGACACGAGGACTTCACCTTCACGTGAGGGACAATTTAAATGAGGCTTAACCGTTCTCCCTCACGATCCTCCTGCAGTTTCTGTCCAGATTAGTAAATCAGGAGGAGGCAACTTCAGCATGAGCGACGGGGCGTCAGAGGAAGATGGCAAGGGCCAAGGTGACGTTTTGCAGACGTAAGTGTCAAGCAGAGGGAGATATAAAAGCTAATGAGTGACGATGATGATGATGATGATGATGATGTGGAAAGGACTGACAGTTGTACTGTACTCTCTGGGTTTTGTATCCCAT